CACATTGCTTGACTTCATGTCTCTGTGTATAATGTGAGGGATGCAATTGTGGTGGAGGAAACAGAGTCCTTTTGCTGCACCTCTTGCAATCTTTTTCCTTTCCTCCCATGTTAGAATCCTCCTGTCACGTGTCTTTGTTCTTCCATGGAGCATTTCTTCAAGGCTTCCATACTCCATGTACTCGTATACCAGCAGCCTCTCTTCACCAATTTTGCAATAACCCAATAAGGGCACAAGATTCCTGTGCTTGATCTTACCCAGAGTTTCCATCTCGGCCATGAATTCGCGGTCACCTTGGCAGCTTAACCGTATAAGTTTCTTGATTGCAACACTTGTCCCGTCTTTCAGCGTTGCCTTGAACACTTCTCCAAAACCTCCACACCCTATAAGACTATCTGCTGAGAAGCCATTGGTTGCCTCAATGAGTTGGGAGAACTTGAGCTTCCTCAGCTGTCTTTGGAAAGTTGCAACATTAATGCTCAAGGGTTCTTTCTCTTTGTCAATTTTCCATGTGGTGGCTGCATGGGATGCTTGCAAGCGATTAAGCATCTTCACCTCCTTTGCTTCCTTTCGCCTTGTGCGCATGGCAATTGCCCACACAATCAGAACACAGACAGAAGCAAGAGAAATCAGAACCCCCAAGACAATGCTGTTAGCCCATGATGCAACCGATGGCCTTCGTCTTCCTTTGCCTGCATCCTGGTCACTTGGAGTGGTGGCTGGTTGGTCATTGCTGCTCTGGCACTCAGGTAATGGAACCCCACAGAGTCCAGGGTTGTTAGCATACTGGGTAGCAGGAAGTGTACTGAGCTGCCCTCTTGTGGGAATTTCGCCCGTTAATTCATTGCTGGACAGATCAATTTGAACCAAGAAAGAAAGGTTGGAGAATGAATCAGGGATATGACCCTGCAGTCTGTTATGTGATGCATCAAACACCCCTAAATCTTTGAGCTTGCCAAGTGATGCAGGAATCTCACCTGATAACTGGTTGTGGGATAACTCAAGAACTTGTAATGCAATCATGTCCCCCATTTCTTCTGGGATTTTCCCACGCAGCTGATTGTAAGAAAGATCAAGATACTCCAGCGTTTGGTATTTTGTAAAGAGACTCAGGACTGCGCCAGAGTACAATCTGGTGAAATCACAAGTCTTCAGTGTTGGGTCCTGCTGAAGCCTTTCAGGTCGGATTCCGGCAAATTCTAATAAACCTCCTACTCCTTTACAAGAATTACCAATATTCCGTACAAACACCAAAGTATTGCCAGAGAGAATTCCGCTCAGGGATTTGGCCCCAAGCTGCCTCCCAAGTCGAGGTGGGATCTCTCCAGTGAGTCTGTTGCTGTTCAAATCCAACCAAACCAAACTGCTGCAATTGGCCAGTTCTCCTGGTATCTGCCCACCCAAGCTATTGTTCCCAAGTTGCAGAACAGCCAGTCTCGTCAAAAGGCCAAATTCTTTTGGGATTTCGCCACTTAGTTTATTGCTTGTGAGTGATATCCATTCGAGATTACTGCATCTGAACAGTTCAACTGGGATCTCACCAGTTAGGCGGTTATTGTTGAGAATAAGATCCTTGAGATTCCTGCAGTTTCCCAAGTCTGGTGGGATTTTTCCCTCTAAGCCATTGTACCATGCTATTAGCTGCTGCAAATTCTCCAGCTTCCCAAGCTCAGCTGGAATTGAGCCATTGAGATAGTTTAAACTGAAATCAATTGTCTTCAGCTGAGAACATTGTGATAGTTGAGCAGGGATTTCTCCAACAATGAGGTTGTCTGGCATTCTCAGCTCCTGGAGTGAGGAGGCTCCAGGGCATATGTCTGGTGGGATGACACCAGATATTTTATTAGAGCTCAAGTCTATAACCTGTAGACTTTTGCAAGCTGATATGGAACCTGGAAGTGATCCAGTGATGATGTTGTTACTCAACAGCAAGCTCTCTAAGGAGCTGAGATTCTGGAAGATAGAATCTGGTAGGGGACCTGTTAAATTGTTGTTAGACAGATCAAGAAGTTCCAGCACAGAACATGAGGAAAAAGTTGCTGGAATTGGACCAGTAAAGTTGTTATATGAAAGCTTAAGTTCGACAAGTGAAGTGCATGCATTTCCCAACTCGGGAGGTATCCAACCAGTGATCTGATTGTGAGAAAGGTCCAATCTCTGTAAACTGGTGAGTTGCCCAAATGATCTTGGGATTTCTCCTGTCACATTGTTGGATGATAAACTCATAGTTTTGAGACTGGTGCAGTTTGCCAGAGACATAGGAATGGAACCCGTTATACGGTTTCCTGACAAATCAAGCTGCAGCAGAGAAGGGCAAGAATATTTCTCAATTTGCAAACCAGAAATTGGCCCGGTTAGATTGTTGTAAGAAAGGTCGAGAGTCTGAAGTTTGTCAGAATTCAATAAGAGATCTTTGGGCAGAGGACCTGTCAAATTGTTGAAAGCAAGGTTTACAAAGACGAGGTTTGGACACTTCGAGAAAAGATTCTCAGGAACAACACCAAAAAGTCCATTGAAAGATAAATCAAGCTGTTTCAAAGCATATGGGAGCTGAAGCAGAGAGGTAGAATTTACACTGAATGAATTTGTTGGCAGTTTTAAGACAGAGAGCATATCTAGAGAAGCCAAGGGATCAAAAGAGATTGTCCCCACAAGGTAACACCCGGTGAGATCGAGCTGAGTTGCTCGGCCCATAGAGCACGTAACTCCATACCAGGTGCATGGATTCCTGCCAAGCTGCCAATCTTTCAAAACTCCATTTGGGTCCTTCTGAATCATCTTTTTGAACGTGAGAAGAGCTTCTGCATCAGTCTTGATCGACGAAACACTTTGTTCAGCTGTAGAAACAGAAACAAGGTCTATTAAGACCAGTATTACAGAAAGATGAAGAAAAAGCTGAACTGGATTAATGCTCTCCATTGATGAAACAAGTTTCAATTCTCAGGAAGGCAATTGAGAGAGAGAGAGAGAGAGAGAGGGAGAGAGGGAGAGAGGGAGAGAGAGTGTAATGTGTAGAGTGAGAGAGTGGTGACTATGATGAGAATTTGTCGTGGCAAAGCAAAGGGGAACCTTAGCTTTAGGAAAAGAAGTTGCTTTTTGTGTTTTATAAAATGAAAAGGATGGAACGTGGGAAGGAATAAGAAAAGAAGGGCATTGGATTGAAGTTGGTGGTGGGTGTATGCTTATACGGTTTCTGAGTACCATGAACTGTAGGGAGAGAGACAGAGGGGAATGTAGTGAGGGGTTGATTTGACTTTTGGTCAAAAGGGGTAGGATCCACAATCACATTCCACAGACAAGTTCTATCTAAGATCGGCGCTATATTAGTATATATATAGCGAAAAAATAAATAATATTCGGGTGTGCATGATCAAGGGTCACTTTTCTGTCAGTGAGCGTGAGAATGTTCCCTATTAGGAATGTGATAAGATACACTGTGTGGGGATTTTACAATGCGCAAAGAAAAGAAGTCACTTCCCCATTTGAACAACTCATGCTTGTCTCTGAGTCACAGTCATGCTGCTGCTGTGCTGCATGCATTTCATCCACCACTTGCTTGGTTTATTAATATTTCTAGGAAGTACGATCTATTGATAATTGTTTAAGAAAACACTTTTAACTTCCAAATGGTTGCTCTATTTGGTTTTGGTTGGTTATATGACCCAATTAAGATTCATTTCATTCCTTGAGTTCACCTGTATTGTATTTGGCTGAATGGTTCCATTTTCTCTTTTCAGTTCCACTCAAGGTCATCATTTCCTTTATTTTTCTTTATTTATAAATTAAAAATTGAAATCTTGACCCTGCTGTATTTATGGTTGTCTGAACATGATGCAGAACAAATGACTGAAGCGATAGAGGCAAAACCGTCAAGTTCCAACTCCTCTTCTATCGCTTTAGCCATTTGTTCTACATTAGAACAACTTTGGTAGATCATACCATTTTAAGCCTTTTGCTACATTTCCATGGCATGGATGCACTCTAGTTTGAAGTTTGAACCCATTTTGGCATTCAAATAAACCCAGTTTAAACCCATTTGGTAATATAATCAATATCCAAAATCGACTGAGAGTCAAATTAGGCATAGTTGAGCTTGATGAGGAGCGTAAAATCCCAACTAAATCAACGTGATTGATTCTGAATATTGATCATTGACCTGTACAGATATTTAGTTTATTTCCTTCCTTTTATATAGACGTGTACATTAATGAATAGCTCATTTAGGCTAGTTTTTAGCATCTTAATTGGCTATTGTATTTGTATAAAGGTTTTGTACCTCATTCTGAAATATTATCAATATACAAATTACCAATTCTATTATGATATCAGAGCCTCTAAGGTTACCAATAATTCTACACAAACTCAAACCCTAACTTGTCCTCTCGCTAACCTTCATGGTGATCAACGACAACGAATCACCTCAAGCCTCAACCAAGCCTAAGCAACCCAAGTATGATGATCCTAGTTGCAACAATGACTCTCAAGGTCGTCGGGGGTCTTTTTCTCCTTCGGTCCATCATGTTGACGCCACTCTTGTGGCCACCGTAGCTCCCCTATCACACAAGCTCACTGCAACACAATAACAGAGCTTCCTTGCTCTCCTCAATCAAAACAAGCCCAGAGTTTTGGCTAATCATGTTAGCATTGCTTCCAGCACCAGTGATTTCTCGGGTAACACCTTATGTGCCTTTGCTTTCGTTGGTGGACTCAACTGAATTTTTGATACTGGGGCCACCGATCATATGGTTTGTTCGCCTAAGTTGTTGACTACATGCACTCCAGTCTCTAATCGTCAAGTGTACCTTCCTAATCATGCCCTTGCCAATGTGACCCATATCGGCACTATCCATTTCTTAGATGGTTTTATTCTTCATAATGTGCTTCGTGTTCCCTCATTTAGATTAAATCTAATCTTTGTGAGCAAGCTCACCAAAAGCTCTTCTTGTATTGCAATGTTTACTAATAAATTTTGTATTGTTCAGGACTGACGTTTGGGGAAGATGATTGGGACGGGAACTGAGAGGGAAGGTCTCTACTATCATGATACTGCAAAGACAGCTGGGTGCAATTCCGTTTCAGTAGTTGTTCCTTCTTCTTCTCGACTTTGGCATCAACGCTTGGGTCATCTTTCAAATAAAAGCATGCGTGCTCTTTCCCTTTCTAAGAACATGAAATTTTGTGACATTGATGATTGTTTGGTTTGTCCCTTAGCTAAACAAACTCATCGTCCTTTTCCCTTAAGTTCTATTAGTTCATTTGCGCCATTTGAATTAATTCATGTTGATATTTGGGGTGGTTATCACGTTCCTTCCATCACTAAGGCACAATACTTCTTGACCCTTGTAGATGATTACTCCAAATGTACATGGGTTTATTTAATGCACCACAAATCATATGCACTTCAAAAGCTCACTACCTTCATCAATCTTGTTGAAGCACAATTTTCTTCCCAGGTTAAAATTGTTCGCAGTGACAATGGTCCTGAGTTTATGATGACACAATTTTATTTATTTTTTTATTTTTTATGATAAAGGGATTTTACATCACACTAGTTGTGTCTCCACTCCATAGTAAAATGGAGTAGTCGAAAGAAAACACCGACATCTTCTCAATGTTGCACGAGCTTTACTTTTCCAAGCCAAACTTCCTAAGAAATTTTGGGGGGATGCCATACTCACTGCCACATATCTTATCAACCACACTCCTACACAGGTTCTTAAAGGAAAAACTCCCTAGGAAATCCTTTTTCTTAACCCACTAGCCTATGATCACTTAAGGGTTTTTAGTTGTTTGTGCTTTGTCTCTACTCATCATCATCACCCATCCAAATTTGATGTTAGGGCCACACATTGCATTTTTCTTGGTTACCCATATGTTACGAAGGGTTATGGAGTTTATGATCTTAACACGAGTAAAATTTTTATTTCTCGAGATGTTATCTTTCATGAAACTACTTTCCCTTTTCCATTTTCCGTTACCGACTCTTCTCTTGTAACCTCTCATCCCACCAATTTTGATGATGCCCCAACCTCTCACTCCACTCCACATGTGTAGTCCCCTATGCCTGGACTTAATTCTCATACTTCGCCATTTCCAGCACATGACCTTGCATTTCCAGTGCATGACCTTGAGTTTCCAACACCTGGACTTGAGCCTCCACATGCAGCTCCTCCACTTACTCTTGCATCGGGGTTTCAACCACCGCTACGGCGTACCACCACTCGGCCTAGTTATCTTCAGCAGTATCATATTAACATAAAATTACCTTCCATGTCTCTCCCATCATCTAACTCAGCATCGATTGAACCCCAAGGTACCAAACATCCTATATCTCTCATGTCCTTACATATGATCACTTGTCACAACACCATCGCGTTTTTAGTGCTTCTCTTTCAGCAGTCAAAGAACCCATCTCTTTTGTTCAAGCAGCTCATAACCCTCAATGTCGTCATGTCATGGCACAAGAATTGACTGCCTTCGAAGCTAATGGCACATGGACTCTTCAACCTTTGCCATTCAACAAGAAACCCATTGGTTGTAAGTAGGTGTGCAAGGTCAAACTTCATCCTGATGGTTCCCTTGATTGGTATAAAGCACGTTTGGTCGCCAAGGGCTATAATTAGGTTGAGGGTTTGGACTACGGGGAAACTTTTGCCCTTGTCGCACAGCTTGTCACAGTTCGCCTCATTCTTGCCGTTGCTTCCACTCGGCATTGGCATCTTTATCAGCGTGATGTTAACAATGCTTTCCTCAATGGTGATCTTGATGAAGATGTTTATATGAATCTACCTCCTGGATTTGGACGAAAATGGGAGACTCGTGTATGGAAGCTTCATAAATCGTTGTATGAACTTAAGCAAGCTCCACATCAATGGTTTATTAAACTTTCCATAGCCCTTAAGCAAGCGGGCTATCATCAATCGAAGGCAGATTATTCATTGTTCGTTCAAACTCGAGGTAGCACATTCACTGCATTACTCATCTTTGTGGATGATATCATTTACAAGACATTGAAGCAACCAAGTCATACTTGCTGCAACAATTCAAATTGAAAGACCTTGGTTAATTGAAATATTTTTTTGGCATAGAGATTGCTCGTTCTAGCAAAGGCATAGTCCTTTCACAATGCAAGTATGCACTTGAAATACTAGAGGATGCAGGACAACTTGGTGCAAAACCAGCCGATTCACCCATGGAGCAGAATTTATCCCTTAGCAAACATGAGGGTGATTACATTGATGATCCATCTTCGTATCGAAGGCTTGTAAGGAAGCTGATCTATTTGACAATTACGCGGCCTGACTTGGTGTGCGCCGTTCACACTATGAGTCAGTTCATGTATAAACCACAAACACCATACCTAGAGGTAGTTCATCGGGTTTTGCGCTATGTCAAACGTGCACCAGGACAAGTTATTTTTCTTTCTACCAACAGTCCAATTCAATTAAATGCCTTTTGTGATGTGGATTGTGCTCGATGTCGTGATACTCGACGTTCTACTACCAGGTGTTGTGTGTTTCTTGTCGATTCTTTGGTTTCTTGGAAGACCAAGAAGCAAACCACAGTATTTCAATCTAGTGCCGAAGCTAAATATCGTTCCATGGTTGCCGCTTGTTGTGAAATTACTTGGTTACAATATATTTTGCAAGATTTAGGCATCAAGCATTCACATGCAGTCAAGTTATACTGTGACAAACAAGTAGCGCTCCACATTGCTTCGAATCCAGTATTTCATGAACGGACTAAACACATTGAGATTGATTGCCATTTAGTGAGAGAAAAGGTTCAAAGTGGAACGATCAAAACGGCTCATATTTCCACCTTACAACAACCAACAAACATATTCACAAAGGCCATGAGTCTTCCACAATTTGCAATTTTACTTGGCAAGTTGGGAATTATCATCATACATTCCAACTTGAAGGGGAGTGTTGAGGAGCGTAAAATCCCAACTAAATCAACGTGATTGATTATGAATATTGATTATTGACCTATACAAATATTTAGTTTATTTCCTTCCTTTTATATAGACGTGTACATTAAGAAATAGCTCATTTAGGCTAGTTTTCAGCATTTTAATTGGCTATTGTATTTGTATAAAGGTTTTGTACCTCATTCTGAAATAGTATCAGTATACGAATTACCAATTCTATTAGAGCTTGTATTATGGAAGAGTGAGAAGTGATACAGTTCAATTGGTGAAACATTGCCCCCAGCCTGAAAAAGATAAAAATAGAGATTGAGGTAGTGAACAAAAAACAGAGGCCCACATATACAGGGAAACATCAATGCACTATGTGGTTCATGGCATTTGGCATGGGAGGTTATGATGCCCCCAGTTGGTCCCTCTTTTGCTTTTCTTTTTTCTATTCTTTTTTTAATTGTTTGTTTTTCTGGTCGGCAAGCTGGGCTGAGCTGAGCCTGAGCCCCTCCTCCTATTCGAAATATTCATCCTTCCAACTCTCGGATTGGTTTAAAGTTTTGAACCAATTAATCTGGACTTAGAAAAGTTATGACTTTATGGCTGGTTTTGGGACCATCATCTGCTTTTGTTTCACTTTGACAGTTGATGGGATGATGTATTCTTGGATTCTGAAATGTAAAGTCAGCAGGTAGCCTAGTGCTAGCTATATAATGATCTTTGAATGAAGCCATGAAGCCATGATCCATCATACACAAACTAATTTACTTACTGGTAACATTATCTACCGCTTCAACCAAACTCCTCCCCATGGTGGTAAACACATCTTAACAATAGTGAATCCTCGGTAGTCAAATGGAAATGGACCAAGTGAAGATACAAGATGCTTGTGCTACAAGTTAGCCGTTTGTCTAGTCAAATGTAGATGTACTTGCAGTTGCAGAGTATGATGGAAACACGATAAAGAAACTCCCCATGCATATCAATGAAATTAATTCTTCTTCCTTCCCAATTTGAAATTGGTTTCAGTTAATAATCGCAGATGCGAAGCATTCTATTAGCCTGTTTTTCAATTATTAGTCTCCCCCAACCCAAATATGAGTTTAGACTCTCTTTCTCTCTCTGTCTCTCATCCACAAGACTCTTAACACAAAAATGAATCAGGGATTTGAACAGAAATATGAAACAGGGAAAGTTTCTTAGTACATAGTTGTATACATGTGAAACTAGAAACAGGGTTTTAACTGCTTCACATCAATCAATCAATCAATCATATGATTAATGATGGTATATATATCTTAGCATATTATGGTGGTGAGGTGGGAGACCGCAGCCGGTGATCCTCCGCAGCATAAAAAGAAATGCCCTTCCTTAAAGAAGCCTTAAGGATGTCGATGGATGAGCATATGTATAATGTATTAATATTAATATTAATTAAGCAGATTAGTGAGTGCCCCTCAAAATTTTCAACCCAATTAATATTATTTCTTTGTTTCTCATTCTTGATAGAGAGGCTCAGACCCCTCCAATGACAGAGACTACTTGTAGTAGAAAGTAACTAGAAGAACCAGGGAAATCCACTCCACTCACTCCGAAGTCTTAAGACTGTAGAGACACTGCACAACTTAATGATAAAGCAGGATTGCATCTTGACCGTAATAAAGCATTAGAATCTGTAATTATTACATTTATAATTAGTGCCCAACTTTGTCCTTGTAACAATCATTTTCGTTTTGGGGCCTGTTTGTTTATACATGAAACTTTGGTGCTGATCTTATCGCTTCACTTCACACTAGAGTATTCTGTCTTGTTTTCCTTGGTTTTCCACAGACAGACATACATGTATAGTTTGTATGTGCCATTTTTGTATCTAGGGTTTCTGTACATGTGAAGTGAAGCACACCATCTTTCCTTTTCTGGAGCAATTTGTTTGGAACAAACTAATTCTTTCTTTCCCTAGTTTGCTTTGAGCAATGGGGACACTTACTTAGGCAAAGTGGCAAGTGGAAAGGCCATCATATAACTAAAGGCTTTCAACCACTTCTCAGGCTTTCTGCTCAAAGCCTGATCAAAGATAAAAATGTTACTGTTTCTTTTGAGTACGTACGTATAATTAAAAAGAATCATTATCTTCTTCACAGTTGGGTCAACTCTCTCTTTCGCTTTAAATCTTTCTACTGGATAGAAAGATAGAGCCTGCCTGACCACTTTTGACGCAGAAAAGAAGCCTATAATTTGTATTTCTTCTATATCTACCAGAAAACAAAAGAAAACAGAAAACGAAAATGAGCCTCAAATTTGAAAAATTGAATTTGATATGGTCGATGAATAAGCAACTGAATCATACAAATATGATATGTAAGCCACTCAAGTTTACTGAAAATATGAGACGGACGGTCCCTATACATGATAAAAATCCCATCCCATCAAAAGCCATGAAACTTGGGAACAACTTTACCCCAACAAATACTTGCACGCCAAGGGAATCATCTTCATCATTTGCAAAGACCTTTTATTTCATTGAGGCCAAGATTTTATACAACACAACACACCACACCACCAAGAGAGAGAGAGAGAGAGAGAGAGAGAGAAAGAGGAAAGTTTGAAATTGGAGAGACAAAAGGGATGTGGTTTCTTGGGGTCACCACCAATCATTTGGATTTATGTAAAAAATGCAATTAGTGGGAAGTGATATACATCAGTCGGGGCCCTTTGGCGTGCCATCGACGACAACTTTGGTCTTACCCCTTGAACATTTGTAAACCCTTTAATTTGCATCAAAAGCCACACCCCAAAACAACGAGAAATATTGCTTCCCTCCTTATGTATCTTCATTCACTCAAAACTCATCAATTATATCTATGTTTTTTTATAACAATTTTTCTCACGCGTCATTTAATAAGTTACATTTTATAATAAAGATATAACTTACAAGTGTTTCTTATACTTAATTACTAGCTAGGTTTAGTGTTAATCTTCTGGTCCTTTGAATTAACTTTGACTAATTAATAGACTTCTTCTAGCTAGGTAATATTATTAAAGATCCTCAGAGAAGGTTTTGGTTTGAAAACAGTTGAGTGGGATTCATTCGATCAGCAAGAAGATCTAGGTAGGGCCTACCTTTGTAATCATAAGTTATGGGCAAGCTTAAGCGTTGGAAATTCTATCTTCCATTCATCGAACGCACAGTATTTATCCATAACATATGTCAATAAAAGTAAAGGGCATTTCAATTTGTGCTCTGATTCGATATATGTTTGACTTTGAAATGCGATGCTATTGCCTAGAGAGATGAGAAATCATTTTGCATGTGATAATTAACAGTAATGTCCGGTTCCCTGAGTGAGATTGTAAAGTCCAGCTAGTCCAACTTTGTATGTAAACTCCAACTCTTATATACGGAAAGTTCGTTGTCATTTTAACTTTGACTTGGGCTACATTTATACAATCCGGGTGATGGGCCTTTTAAAGCTATGCACGGCTTGGTTATTGAGCCTAAACCCAAACAAAACTTACACAACACGAACTAAAGGGGCCTTAGAGACTCCAAGTATATCATCAACCAAAGCCGCTCCAGCCCAAATAGGCACCGAGTCATACCAACACACGCCTATGTCCATATTATAGCTTTCATTAACAAGATATCGGGCCTTCAATTTGAGGTAGAAAAATTCATTTGCTCTCTATTTGGATGAAGGAATTTAAAATTACATAAAATTCTTAAATGACGGAATTTAGATATCCGTTATTAAATTTCTGGCAATTAATAATTTCAGTGTTTGGATTTATGTATGTTGAAACTTTGTAAATGACAAAAATTACAGTGAAAATGAAGTCATACTCAATTAGAATTGTGAAATGACGACTCTTTTGGGAAAATTAAACTTGGGAATCTCGATCCCCAATTTTCACGATTTTTTCCACCTCATTTAATAAGTTCCATGTTCAAATTGTCAAACAATGGAAATATCAATTTCTTCTCTTCAATTTCTGACTTTTAGCTAAATTCTGAGTTATTTTTCTTCATCCAAACGGAGGATTGGTGGTGCTTCTAAGACTAATAAAGAATGTTTAACTGGGGTTGAATTAAGGAAGCAAGTCTAAGATATCCTAGGTATGTTTATGAGATTGAAAGAAAAGAAGAAAGAAAAAGAAAAATCTTTTATGAGATATTGTGCAGTGCAATGCAATGCCATGCTCATGTAGATGAGATAATAATCTAATAATATAAAAAAAAAAAAAAAAAAAAAAAAAAAAAAAAAAAAAAGGACATTAAAATCCCACACCTAACCTTAGCTATAATAAGTTAGAGGCATACTGATCAAAATCAAATCATCCAGATGACTAGATATTTACATGCATGGATGGTGTACATGTTGCCAAATTTGTCGTCCATTTCTCCGAAGGGTAATCACCAAACACTAAATATGGACCATTTAAGTTTTAGCTGGTCCGCAGAGATTACAGAAGAGAACCAGCACAAGCCTGTGGAGATCAAAATTCAAAATGGGAAGAAGCAATATAAATATTCCGGAGTTGCCAGTGCCAGTGATAGGATTAGGGACGGCTTCATATCCTTTTGCTGACAGAGAAGCCACAAAAGAAGCCATTCACAACACACTCAAGTAACTAATTACTTGATCAATTAACATTCATTTTCAATTCATAATACATTTTCATTAATTGCAAATTTTGATTCAGATTGTATATTGTAAATTTGTAATTTGTATGTGTGTGTGTGTGTGTGTAAAATATATTCAGGAATCTGGGATTGGAGTACCTTGATATGTATCTGATACATTTGCAGTGGGTTTGAAGAGAGCTGAAAGCTATGAATATCCTTTTAAGAAAGAGGACCTTGTTGCCATGGATTCCAAGTCATTGTGGGAAGGAATGGAGGAGTGTCAGAAGCTTGGCCTCACCAAGTCTACAGGTGTCAGCAACTTCTCATGCAAGAAGCTAGAAATCTTGCTTGCTACTGCAAAAATCCGCCCTGCAGTCAACCAAGTAATCACCCAAAAACTACATATATACGAATGATTCAAGGCAAGAGTACTTAATAATAATTAATCTGCTGGTTTGATTATAACTTGTAATTAATTTAAATAACTAGATGGAGATGAACCCGCTGTGGCAGCAGAAAAAGCTAATAGAGTTTTGTGAGACGAAGGGCATAGTGATCACAGCCTACTCTCCATTGGGGGCAAATGGAGCACCTTGGGGGGACAAAGATTGTTGGAGAACAATCAGTATAAAACCAAATAACAGAATAATAAATAAATTAAAATATGCTTTATATATATATAAAATCAATACAACAGTAGAATAAATTACAGAATACTGACTTGAATTGATGATAGAGTCACAAATCATCCAATGAGGCCCAACTTTGCCTCCACTAGGCCCATACCCTATTTAGTATTTCTAAAGTGTTGGTGCTTATAAACCATGGAAGGAAACAACTACCTTCCAATGTGGGACTAAATGCAAGTGTATTTTTTCCTATACAAACTCTAACAAAAGAGACATGGAATGTAAGGTGCTCAAACAGATTGCGGATGCAAAACGAAAAACCCTTGCACAGGTACAGGTGCACTCACACCCTATTTAATTACGAAATAATTACCATGCATAATCCTGCCTGAATGATTGCATTTAATTAAAATTAATGAATGATTCTGGGTGCTCTTCTTGTGCATGCATAAATCAAAATGAAGGTTTGTCTGAGATGGGTATACGAGCAAGGGGTGAGTTTGGTGGTGAAGAGCTTCAATAAGGACAGGATCCAAGAAAATATTGGCATATTTGATTGGGAGCTGAGTCCTCAGGAATTGGATAACATCAATCAAATTCCACAAAACAGAGGATTTCCAGCAATCAACTTCATTGCAGATGAAGGCCCTTACAAGTCTCTTCACGAGCTTTGGGATGGAGAGATTTAATCATGAAAATTCACCTATATAACACATTCTTGTTATCATCTCAATTTCCTTTAAACTCGCAAGGGACTTGTAGTTTAAGTGATTAAGAGCAATTACTTTTGCACCTGAGAGGTCCTGTGTTCAAATTTCTCCATCCCCAACATCACTTGTATCAACAACAACAAAAAAAACTCCCAATAAACTCTACCAATGATTATTAAAGTTTGATGCGGGAGCTGCAAGTTCCAAGTTTGATAATGCCTTCAACCTTCTGATTGAATTCAAGCTTTTTGTAAAAAAAAAAAACTCAAGCTCAATGGCCCATCTTCGAGCCCACATTTTGCGAAAAAATTTACTTGTAATGAGGATAACATTGTCATGCTATCTCCGGTCAATAACACATTGACCCGTGAAAATTTTATCCTACATGTCATTGCATTATTGATGTGATAGAAAAAAGTATTATCTCATATTAGAATTTCTCTCTAAGTTTTGGCCACAGTGGGTTTCTTTTGTTTCGAGTCCAAATTCCAATACAAGCTTTTTTTTTAATTAAAAATTCAAATACAAGCTTGTAAAGGTAATTTGCTTAATTAACCCTTTTAAGAATATAACTACTTTCCGTTGAGCAAAAAAAGAAGACAGAAAGAATTACCTTATTTTTTCCTTCGCTGATGAAGTTTATGTTGGCAAAAAAGTAGACACTGGAACTATTTCTTCACAAAAGTCAAGGGAACAGATTACCTAGGTTAATTAATTATAAGCTTATTTACTGAAGTATTCTTTGAAATTATGGTAAAATCTTATTTAACCATTTTAAAGTCAAAGTGACCTAGAGTACCCCCTTGACAAGTACTTCTCCAGAAGGCGTTTTATGGTCCATAAGCGCTTCTAAACTTTGCTACCAAATGATGTCAGAAGCGTTTTTGTTTATTAAAAAACGCTTTTAGCCCTTCCCAAACAAACCCTTTAAGACTAGGAAAAAGGGTTCCAAATCCAAGCTACTTTTCCACTTATGTCGGTTGCATAATTTTGCACCTGAAAAACGTTTACTTACAAAAATATATATTTTTTCTTTAACTAGTGATCGCCGTAGATTCTTTTTTTTGTTGAGAATTAGTGATTTCTTTGATAGCAAAAAATGATTACAAATTGTCCTCCGCCAAAGCATAATACACGGCAGAAGGAAGAGAGAAGAGAGGGGGGGGACCATGATGATGTTAGTGGTAAAGTCAAATTGTTGCCGTAGACGCTTGAATTACTTGAAAAATATATGTAGGTGATTAGTTTGTCCAAAGTCAAGGTCGTTTTTATGAGATAGAAATGGAAGAAAGACAAGAGACAGAAAGGTATCCATCGAATTAATTCATATGAATTAATTGTCGGCGCCCACTCACCTACAAATTTGATTTCAATCAGTTGATCGAATCATCGAATGTGGATCGATCAAGTTCATAATATGTAAGCAGCAGCAGCAGCAGCTAGCTAACTTTTATTGACATGTCTCAAACAAAAGTCAGAAATCTTAGTTTCGCTTTCATGCATAATCAGCTAGCGCCTAAGCCTGAACTGAACCAACATTAATTTATCTTTATTCCATGGTTAACGTAATTAATTAATCATCAACTGAAGTGCTGTATCATATGCATCATTGATCAAGTCTTTGTTGCTAGAAATCTTAGGTCATCCATGCAGGAAAACAACCACTTATCCTAATTTAAACATCCAAATTAATATCTGATATATATCATAATACTGTAATTAATATTGGACTGACTCACATCATCATCATTATTATTGAGTTATCGAGTTTTTTCGGGCACCTAGATACCCCAAAATATACATGGTCATGGTTCGCTCAATCAAAGGCAAGCATCACATTCACAATGTTTGACTTTTCTTTGATCAATCCACTCACAACCACACGCCATTTTCTAATTAAATCATTATGAATTTAAGTAACTTTTTTCTTTCTTAAAAATAAAAAGGGTAAACAAAAGTTGCAGTTGACTTAGTGCCTATATAAAGGCAAGACAATGGTGCAACTGGAGGCCACGACATACATCTACCTATCTACTGTATAACTCGTGTTGAAGAAGTTAATTTGGAAATTATTAGTCTCTTTTTGGGTGGACATTTATAATGCCGTCAATGGTGGTTCCTGAGGTAACACTAAACTCGTGTGACGGCATAACAATGCCAGTGATCGGCATGGGGACTTCATCGTACCCTCGTGCCGATCCGGAAACAGCCAAGGCTGCAATTCTTGAAGCTATCAAAACGGGGTACCGCCACTTCGACACGGCCTTCATTTACGGATCAGAGCATGATCTGGGTGAAGGCATAGCCGAAGCCCTGCGTCTTGGTTTCATCAACTCCAGAAGTGAGCTCTTCATCACCACCAAGCTTTGGGCCAGCTTTGCTGAGAGGGACCTTGTAGTGCCTGCCATCAAGGCCAGTTTAAGGTATCCTATATATTATTTAATTTAATGTAATATACTAATTACTCATTAATTGAAGTTTGATCCACTATTAATTAATAATATTATTATATAGGAATCTTCAAGTGGAGTATGTGGATATGTACATAATTCATTGGCCCTTCAAGTTAGCGAAAGAGGTGAAGAGTACGCCTGTTGAAAAGGAGATTGTGCAACCTCTAGATTTGAAGTCTGTTTGGGAAGGCATGGAAGAGTGCAAGAGACTGGGCCTTGCCAGGGCCATTGGCGTCAGTAATTTCACCTGCAACATGCTTCAGGACCTCCTTTCCATCGCCAAAATCCCTCCCGCCCTCAACCAAGTAACTATTTATCTATATATTATATATATGCAGAATTAATTAAAACACGTGGCAATTAATTATGATGTGTGTGTGTATAGGTGGAGATGAATCCAGCCTGGCAGCTGAAAAACATGAGGGAGTTTTGCAAGGCAAAAGGGATCCATGTCACAGCATTCTCTCCGTTGGGTGCATCTGGGACTAAATGGGGAGACGACAGAGTTTTAGGCTCAGATATCCTCCAAGACATTGCCAAAGCCAAAGGCAAAACAACAGCTCAGGTACCTTTGATTACTTACTTAGGCCATCCCCAACGGGAACCTTAAATTGGGCTTTACTTTCTTGGGGCTCATAAATATAGAGCCCAAGTGCAAAAAGACATCCTCAATTAAAAGCTTTTTGGGATTTATATCATAAAACTGGCCGGAGATAATTAAAACAAAATAACAATAAAAATTAATGTATAGAATAAATTACATCATAAATTAATAGTATCTTTGATTTGATTAATTATTAATTAATCTTATAATTAATTACATATGCAGATATCGTTGAGATGGGTGTACGAGCAAGGGGTGAGCATGGTAACCAAGAGCTACAACAAGGACCGAATGAAGCAGAACCTCGACATCTTCGGTTGGTCCTTGACGGAGGAGGAGTTGGACAAGCTGACTCATCTTCCTCAGCGCAAAGGTGTCAATTTTGCCTCACTTTTGGGGCCGCATGATATTGTGCTCGAGATTGATGCTCAATTATGACCATTCAATCCATCCTCATGGGCTTTCTCTCTTTATATTGAACGTATTATTCGTCATAATATATAAAGTTTGAAGAAAAAGAATTACGTTAAAAAGAAATAGTAGTTGACCCAGTTAGGATGTAGCGTTTGCAAGGGGCTTTTCTTTCTTTAGTCAATAGCGTTTGCAAGGGGCTTTTCTTTCTTTAGTCAATAACCTCTGTGTTTAAATTATATATGTATCATATCATGTTAGTTTAGCTTCTGGCTAAGTTTTTGGCTGCCCCCATTTTACCAAAAAAATTATATGTATCACTTCCAACAAAAATATATATTTATATATGTATAACGGGCACATTGCATTAGGTGGGGCAAGCACGTGGGCTGCTTTTGTTGTCTTCGTGGACTCCACAAAATATTGATTCAGGCAATTCATTAGGCAGTACGTAGCTCAACAAGTTGACTCGGCTTGGTCAAAAAGCCCCAACAAATACATAGGTTGGAGATGGATTTTGGGGTCAAAACTCAAATTTTGACATTTCATTCCACCACTTGGACCTGGTCTAATAAGCATATTTAAAAGAGATGTCAAATTGTCTCGTACACACAGTGGTGGACTCATCAAGGTATAAGGAGGTGTAGTCGCACCTCCCTTCGCCAGAAAATGTCATGGAAATGCCAGAAATTGTCCTTTTGCTGGTGTCCATAAACTGTTCGATAAAATGCCTCAAAGATGCTATAATTTTGCTTTCTGCGCTGCTCGCGCATATATATTTTTTTAAGTCATGGCCAAAACAATGTCATTCTGAACCAGGCCAGGAAAAAAATATATATTTTTAAGGAAATGAAGAGACATGCCCACCGAATAAGTCTTCAGCCATGGAAGCACAAGCATAACTTCATTGTCTCGAAACCAAGTATATTGACAGATGGATTAGATATATAGATCTTCTTCATGTTCCTATCTTCAATTTGAAGCCTGGTCAATTACATCAAAATTCATTCTCTTCGCATTGCAAGGTCTGCTGTTTTTTTTCTTTTCAGTTTCGTTTCTTCTGGTTTTGTAAAATTATTTTTTTATGTTTATTATTATTATTTTTTTCCATGATTTGTTTGTTTAATTGTTGGTTATAATTGATTAGCCAACTTAAGGGAGAGAAAAATAAAAAGGCTTGTTTGCAAGTTGTCATCGTCAGTTTTACTATTTTGATTACCCAACATTTTCTGGTGTCATAGCTATCATAATGAGATTAATGAGACCTTCTTTCTAGTTGGTAATTAAACTCGATATATAGTTAGGAGGAATGAGATTAATGAGGCCTTCTTTCTAGTTAAGAAACAACTTTGATTCATTGATGAATGATTGAAGGTCACTAATTGGTGTTGTGTCCACATACATATGATATATGGACTTACTCTCCTGTTGAAAAAGAGTGAAATTACCTATAGAATAGCTTAAATCACTAAAAGATAGTAAAGAGCACGTAGGCAAAACGAAGGAATATAAAAAACACACCTAAAGGATTAATAGGTGCTACCAATCCCTTGAAAGTACAGAACGTAAATAAAGAACACACATGGATTATTTTACGTGGTAAAACTTCACCTTTGGAAAAAAAATCCATGGAACCAGATAGTCCAAGGTAAATTCACTATAAAAATAATGATTACACAGTACACGAAGTACACAAACTTGCCCTAGACTCTCTAAACAAAGTACCAACTTCTTTGTAACTGTACTTCTCTCTATATTATCCTTCTCTCTTTATGTTGAGTCCGATACACTACTACATTTTACACTTTGCTCGACGAAGAGAATTTCGTCGCATAATGTACATTATAGTCGCACAAATTTCAGCGTGACAGAAACTTCGTTGCAAAGAATCCGTCGCGCAAAGATCGTGAAGAAAGACTTTGTGCGACGAAGTTTTTTCATTGGTCATGCAAAGTGATTATGCATTATAGGGACCCCCATTTGCTTTTAAAAATAATAATAAAATGGATATTTGGAATTTTTGGTTGATTTTTTTTTTTTTATTTTTTTTTTTTTTTTTTTTTTTTTTTTTTTTTTTTAAATAAAATTGTCATATAAGCTATCAAATTCAAATTTAACATTTTATATCTCCAAGGGAGATACTCTAAAATTTTAAAGGGGAACAAATGCTTTTATGGTGGAGAAGCGAAATTAACTACTTCTTGTAAGAATTCATGTTCCATGCATAAATGTAGTTCCGTCCTCGTTAAACATATTTCCAAATAAAATTAGAAGCTTAGTTTCATATGCCAAGCAAAGCACATGATCATATCTAGGATCAAAAAGATTAGTTGTTATTGGGTTTAGTCCACGCGTTTTTGGATTTAGATGTCCTTTGACTTTCATTAATTTTTTGTTGTTGTCGATTTTACATTGAAAATCTATATATATAAAGCAAAAGGTAAAAAATGGTAAAAAATTCAAAATACCAGAAAATGCCTTTAGTTAAAGCAAACATTAAGAATTGAAATTATTAATTAAAAGGATAATATGGTAAATTCACACTTTTCATATTTAAAAAAATGAAAATTAAAAAAAAATAAAGATAATGGATCCTATTTTTATGGAACAACTACTTGTTATCTTTTTTTATTCTAAAATAAATTTAGGCTAGTATAAATTTAATGCATTATTTCCTTGTAATTGAACTTCAAAAAATTTTGAATTCTTTCCTTATAATATTTACCTAATATATAGCAATCACATGAAATTATGTACCTAACACACATGTAAATAGTGTTATTATTAGCAACGAAAAAAACTTAGTAATAAATCGTGTTACCTATAAGTCATGAACATAAATTAGAAGACTACTTTTAAGTTAGTAACATAAATTAGAAGACTACCTATAAGTCATATACAAAAATAGACAAATAAAATTTTATGTTACCTATAAAAAAGGGTACATAAAAATACCATTTTATACATTGTCAAAAATATTTTTAAAAAAAACATATATATAGGCAATAGGACAATATATCTACACCATAGGATAATATATCTACAAGAGTATATAATATATTTCTACCATAGGGTAAACAAAAATAAAATTGTTATCTATAAATCATGCGTGTAAACTAAAACACCTACGATACACTAGTCGAGAGCATATAGAAACATAAATACTACTTTACCTACACAATTGGATAAACTTAGGTTACAACTCAGTGGCTGAACCATAAATTTATATAGGACCAGGCTAATTTTGTTTTTCTTGGCTTCTTCTATAATATAATACTAGTCTCTCCGCACGTGCTTCTACCCGTGTTGAAGGCTTTTTTTTAAAAAAAATTTTAATTAATTTTAGAATTAAAAAAGATAATGGGTAGTTGTGTTCCATAAAAATAGGATCTATTATCGGATTTTTCTTTTAATTTTTTTTAATATGAAAAGTGTGAATTTACCATATTATCCTCATTTAATTAATAATTTCAATTCTTAATGTTTGTATTAACCAAAGGTATTTTTTGATATTTTGAATGTTTCACCATTCTCTGCTTTTTGTTTTATATATATCGATATCATGCTTCAAATTGTCAAGAATTTTTTTTTTGGGAAGGGGTTTAAAGCCGAAAACAACATAAATAACACGAAATAGGGGTCTAATCAAATTTAGAAACCAAACGAGGCCTATAGTTGTCAGCCTAACATGTTAATTGGCCGAGAAATGAACTGGAGAAGAAAAGAGGAGAGAGAGAGAGATCAAGGGAAGAGAGAACTGGAAAAAGAAAGAGTGAAGAAGTGAAGGAAAAAGTAACAAAAAACAGCGAACAATACAATAAATTGAGAGAAGTGACTGTGAGAGAGAGTTGCATTTTATAACACCAACCAGAGAAGTCGTATCTTTAAAATAAGCTAATAAGCTAAATTCAAGGAGAAGTTGTATCTTTAAAATAATAAATTATCTTAAAATTATGGGATTTATGTATATCTCTATATTGAAATTTTAATAAAATATCGTAATTATTGTCCTATAAATTTCTACACAATTTATACTTTAGGGGCATAATATCAGAAAATACAAAAAATGAATGTAATCCTATTTGGCAGAAAATATCAAAGGACTTAGATCAACGACAACAAATACAGAATTAAACCCAACTTATGTTCTCACTTTTGAACTTATCCCAAATTTTCTATATATAAAAAAGTACATAGTCAACCCGTTGCTCAATATTGTATAAATGGAAATCCTGAGGAAATTTTAGGCTATATTATTTAAAGGGGAAAATAAATTATAATAAGTGTACTCAATTGGAATATGCAAATGGGCAGAGTTGTTGTGCTTTATTATATATTGGTCTCAAAAGTCTGCTGAATGGAAAAGGACCACAGTGAAGAAGCATTGCATGTATTAATTAGTTTCAAGAAGAGTTGGTCCTTAGTTCAGGCTAAATACTTTACTTGTCCAATTAATTAGGGGACCACAAAATTAGAAAATTATAAGTTGGAGCAACTTGGGAAGGATAAAGATCAACGATGGGCAGCAGTTGCCGGAAGAAATTCATGCCCAGCTTCAACATCCATGACCATGACTGAATCTGACACTCAAGGAAGGAAACAAACCGGGGGAAAAAGACGATAAACTTTGTTTCCTCTAATAAAAAGTATGGTATTTTCTGGTGCAATACAGGCTCCAGATCCTCGATCACCGTTATACTTTGACCCAAAAATAGAAATAAAGAGAGAGAGATATCCTTGCAGTTATACTTGACCAAACTCCTAGTGGTGTTGGGAACGTACACACTCTCTACATGACCAAAAACAGAAGAGTTTCCGTGCAAATTCTCTACATGACCAAAAACAAAAGAGTTTCCATGCAATAATAAATAATAGCTTCAGTTGCACAAACAATCCCTAGCTATATCCATAATCATACGTATATTGAAATAAATAGAACTTCAAATCCGTGGAATCATGACTACTCTCTCTAATCCTAGTTCCCGGTAAAACAAAGCAAATTAACACGTGGCATCATATAATTGGACTCTTGATCAATTTTTGACATGGTCAGGCAGCATGACTAAGACCTCTAATAATAGGTGCGTGGGTAAAGGGGCGGAGAAACTTTGAGTGGGAAATAAGCTCTATGATTCTTTTGGTCCGGCTGAATATTAAACAAATAAGCTGGGATAATTGACAGGGTGTATGCACATGCCGGCAACCTGCTTATAAATAGAACGGACATGGTGTAGTTGAAGGCCAAGAATAAATCTATTTTTCCTTTGCGTTGACTTCAGCTATATACAGCAGCTGTGCAGATCGATCTATAAATCTATCTTCTTGTTCCTTTTTCTCTTGAATTGAATCAGATAGAAATTCACAATGGCAAAGGCAATTCCTGAGATAATACTGAGCTGCGGTAACGACATTCTAGCCATGCCAGTGATTGGCATGGGAACTGCATACCCTGCGGCGGATCCAGAAACAGACAAGGCTGCGGTTCTTGAAGCCATTAAAGCCGGCTACCGCCACTTTGACACCGCCTTAGTTTACGGGTCGGAAAAATATCTAGGTCAAGCCATATCCGATGCTGTGCGTCTTGGACTCATCAAGTCCAGGAGTGAGGTGTTCATCACCACCAAGCTTTTTGCCAGCTTTGCTGAGAAGGATCTTGTGGTGCCTGCCCTCAACATGAGTTTAAGGTAACTAACTATTATTGATGTCATATATATATGACAAATCTTTTGCTTATTAATTAAGGGTTTCTTATATATATAATTATATCAGCAACTAATTGTCTGCCTATTAATATTAATTAATTACTGTATATATGTAGGAATCTGCAACTGGAGTACGTGGATATGTACATAATTCATTGGCCCTTCAAATTTGGGGGAGAGGTGAAGAGTATGCCTGTTGCAAAAGAGATGGTGCTACCTCTAGATTTGAAGTCAGTTTGGGGAGGCATGGAAGAGTGCAAGAGACTTGGCCTTGCCAGGGGCATTGGCGTCAGTAATTTCACTTGCAACATGCTTCAGGACCTCCTTTCCATTGCCAAAATCCCTCCCGTCCTCAACCAAGTATGTATATATATATATATATATATCATTATATCCATTCTCATTTTATATATGTACTTACGAACATGAATAATGCCAATTATATCTATATTCTCATTAAATTTAATTTGGTTGAATTATTTATAGTTGGAGATGAGCCCAGCTTGGCAGACAAAGAAACTGAATGACTTCTGTAAGGCAAAGGGTATCCATGTTACAGCTTACTCTCCCCTGGGCGGAGCTAACAGTCGAGTAGGAGACGACAGGGTTTTATGCTCAAACATCCTCGAAGACATTGCCAAAGCCAAAGGCAAAACAACTGCTCAGGTATCGTTGAGGTGGGTTTATGAGCAAGGGGTGAGCATGGTAACAAAAAGCAACAACAAGGAAAGAATGAAGCAGAACGTTGACATATTCGATTGGTCGTTGACTGACGAGGAATTGGAAAAGATTAGTCATTTTCCTCAGCGGAAAGCAGTCACCTTTGCCTCAATTGTTGGGCCGCATGATCTAATTGTCGACATTGACGCCCAACTATGACCTTGTTCTTCGGAGGGGAGGAAATCGAATTAAAGTTAAATAAAGAGTGGAGTACTCTAAATAAATAAAAAGAAGCACCAACACCAAGGGCTTTGACATGTTCGTCTTAGAAAAAGATGTACATGTGTTTGTTCTCTCTTGTTACTTGTTCCGGCGGCGTATATGATGTGCTGCTACTAGGTCTTATTTAACGCGTCTGGGCGCCGGTGAAGAAAATTTATATAGAACAGGAATATTATTCTTTTATTCAGGGCTTGCATTGGAGTGGAGTTATTTAAATTTTTTTTTTTCTTGTTGTTTTCAAGTACAAATATTATATGAATATATATAGAGTTCCGTGTGAAAGTTGGAAATTGGAATTATCGGTTATATATATATTTTTTATTTGTTCTATTATTCTATTAATTCACTCATTCGTGTTGGAGACTCCGTTTATCATCTTGCAAACCTAAGATCTACCAAAATCGTAACTATTTTTTATGGGTTATAAATTTTAAAACTCAACCAATCAAACACACAAGTCGGCATATAGTATGTCCGCTAATTGAGGAGGAGCATGATTGACGGGCAACCGTGCAAGGTCTTGTAGGGACTTTTATCTTCTCTTTGTAAGCTTATTAACAAAAGCATTTATCAACGGAGAAAAGCCTTGACTTGTAGACAAGAGGTCTCAGATTTGAACTCCCACAACATCTTAGTGGTATGCGTGTGAGAAATTCCTTACTTAGTGCTATTAAAAAAATAACAGAAGCATTCACCAACCAAAATATTAATTTCCTTTCCATTATCTTGACATCTTTTATCTTTAAAGAAGAAAATGTATCCAAGTTTAGAAATGGAAGCGTAGGGGATGGGATGAAATCAAGGAAAACTGTCCGTAAATAAAATAACGTTTGCGACCAAAATCAAGTTCCTTTCCATTATCTTTATCACTTACTTCTTTACATCTAAAATGTGGCCTGCTCCTCAGATTTATTTGTTTCGCATGTAAGAGATGAAGATAGTTTTAGATGAGGCTACCAAACTCACGAGCGAGTAACATGGAAAAAGTCATTTCAGAGAGCAAGTAAAATGTGGACATACAAGGCTGCTGCCTATATTAACGCGTCCATAGATACATATAGTGAAAATAGTTAAAGGAAACCCCAACAATGCCCACATGTTCCCCATGCCTGAAGCAAACGCACAACACAAGTCTCGAAACGCTTTTACTTCGGAAAGCTTGCTTCCTCTGCTTCCGCTTCTGAAGGCACTCTCACCTACCTTCTAACAAAATTCATAGACTTTTTCCTATCATTTAAAAAAAATAAAAATAAAAATAAAAAAAGAGGAAGAAACAACCCCCCTATTCACACTTGATAGACTTATAAATGTGACGAACAAACAGCAGAGCGGCACGAAAGCCTACGGTACCAAGCATGAGAAAGAAGCCATAGCAAATGCAAGCCATGTAACCAAAGAAGAACGAGGTTTGCATAAAACCAGACATATCCGATCGAGCATAGTAATAATACAAGCAGTAGCCATAGATAAAGAGGCCAGTAGATCCGCCACATAGAAAAGACCTGTCACAAATCAACAACTCTGATTAGTCCAGACAAATGGTAGGCAGATGATAACATCGACAGTAATTCTAAAATTTTCTAGCTCAAAATGAATAGCAATGAGTAGAAAGAATCCGAAGAATATACGCCCTACTTTGGAGCATAATAAAAACCTTTATCAACATCTTTTTTTCTGTTCTTTTTTAAACTTAACCTATTTGTATGATATAAACAATATCTACAAATAGAAACCAGAATATGAATATCCATGGAAAATTTAATGCAAGAAAGACTTGTTTACCTCCACCACCACTCATGATCTTCAGCAGCAAGTTGGAAATAGGTCAAAGCCACAGTTATAAAGGCAGTGACAATCAAAAGAATAATAAAAACAATAAACAGAATGCTGTAGATGGTGTAAATCCTGTGACCCCAGACACTGGCAAATATGTAGTAAAGTTCAATATATATTGCACTGAAAGGGAGAAACCCTGCCATTGCCATCTGAGGAATGGTCGTTCTGTACCATGGAAGAGGGGGAATTTCTCGAGGATACTTTGTGGTGCGGCAAGGAGCTTGGAACTCAGCCTTGCTGTTTTTCCCAGCAATGCCACCCAAGACAAGCAATGGTGATGTTACCAATGTCCAAATAAGGACAATTACCACAATAGTACCAAAAGGAAGAGCTGCAGTTGCACTATAAGCAATTGCAACAGTGTTAAGGAAGCAGAATGTCAGGAACAGAGGCCCACAGAAAAGGCACCCAGTAAGTAATAAATTTCTCACCTGTCAACCAGAAGAGGAAACTAAATGATTCCATTTCACTTTAATAAGCAGAAATCATAAGCTGCATTTGTTGCAAACAGAATCCATTTTTACTTACCCAGTTTGTTCCTTCAAGTTGACAATAGAAAGAAGTTGCAGTATATCCCGCAATGCCAGAAGTGAGTGCATATATGACCACAAGTGCAGTGAATAAAGCTCCTCGGTTGTATGGATAAAATACACCAACTAGTGCGAGCATAAAAATGAAAATTGTGCTGGAAATGCACAGAGAGGAAGACGGTAACATTAAGTACTAGCATGAAATAATCCAAAATTCATATATCTAAAAAGATTGCAATAATCCTTACAGAGTGAACAGCTGGGTTCCAGAACCATGGGCAGCAGCGAACAAAGATTTGTGCTTGGGGAACCGGAAAACATCACCATGAATGTACTTCCATCCAGTCTCTTCTTGGTCATCAGCAGCTTCCTCATCTTGTGCATACCTTATTAAGAAATTGAATAAATACAATAAGTGACAATAAATTGTAAACAGAAAACCCGGATATTTCATATAAACAAGTTTTCAAGGCTCACAAATTAAAATCTCACTTCATGAAATCATTCTTCAGGACCCGCATGAGAATGGTTGCAAGAAAACCCGTCAAGAGGAGAACTGTGACACATGAATTTATGATTGAGAACCAATGAATTTCCAAGTGATGTGGCAGCGAAGAGGACTGTGAGTATTTATCCATCCTATTCTCAAAGGGAATATTTGTTTCCCTCCATTTTACAGTGTACATGAAATCTGCATCAACATCCTTGTCCTCTGTCAAGTCCACAACAGAATGGGGATCCATCTTGGCCCCGATTTCAATTACACGGTCTTTGTTGTACATAACTTCGAATTGGATATGCTTGTATAGAAAATATTTGTATTCACTTGGGTCAGTTTTTCCTTCCTTGTCAACCTTTCCCAAAAAACCCCAGATGGGCAAGTCATCATAATACATCTGGAAGTAGTAGTCTTTTTTCACAGCAGTTCGAAACTGAGCAACTTCTTCCTTGGTCAGCTTCCTTCTACAAGCAACTTCAGTGTCCTTCTCTTTTCTGAACTCAAGTTTATAAGGAGCACTAACAAGACGGTCTCCATTCAGTACCTCTCCAAGTGCTTCCCTCTTCTCCTTCACATCACCTACCATTGATAAAGGGCCCACCTTAACTTACAAAAAATCAAATTGTTCTGGAAATTTTAAAAAAAGGGAAAAGAAATTCCGTTAACGCAGCTACAATTATTAGCCGCACCATTGCAAGTTTTGTCCTATTTTAAAACCGAAAACATAAGAAAATCTATAACACACCATCCTTCGAAAACTAATGGGGCATAGGACAGCGCTTATATTGATCCAAAGAATCTACATTTCAAGTGCAAAAGTTATAAAGAAGGCCATTGTTGTTGGACTTATCCTCAGGAGAATTTACTATTTTAGAAGTTATGCATATGTTCCCCACTAAGAAATTAGATATCACAGCTAAAATTTACACATTTAAACTTTCTTTTTCTTTGGGGGGGTTTGGTCAAGCCATTGCATATGGAATGTAGAATGTAAAAGGCAAAATGTTTGAGATATAAAACCTGCTGAGCAGAAGGGGAGATCAAAATACCGATACGTTTCGCTGAAACCAAACAAAACAACCAAATACACAACACATTAGTCAGTTGCCTCCTCAATGTCAATGCCCTACAACAAGGTGCAAGGGCCGGTTTGGAAGCAATAAGAATCTTCCAAAATCAGCAATTGAATGAAGAGTATCTGAAAATGAAGTTCCAAACAGAGGATTTCTTCAGATCCAAAGTCAGATCCAGATGAGATTTGATATGGTTACCTGGGGTTGTGAAAGGGGCCGACTTTATTGGCGTAGAGAGGGACGGCGTCGCCATCATTGTAGCGGTGATCGGAGGCGTCCGATCTGACGTGGGTAACGCAGCACGTGATTAAAATGGCAAGGACGAGAATCGTCGAGAGGTTCTTCATGGTCTTGACGGAGAAGAAGATACGAGTGATATTTTCAACTGATAAAGTGAGAGAACGAACAAACCACAAACCACTACAGCAACCTGATAATATTTTCTTTTTAATTCTTTTTTTTTTTTTTTTTTTTTTTTTTTTGTTTTCTTTTTGACTGAGGATGTATTTTAGGAGGAGCTCGTGATCTTCGCGAACATTTATTTATATATTAGTATGTAGTCCTGTTTCATATCAGGGAAAAAATTGTAATAATAAAGTTTTTCTATAAGAATAGAGTTAAATATTCAAATCATTTTTATTGTAATTTAACGCTCGAAATTAAAAATATGTAAATAATTCTTAATATAATATACTTATTAGAGAATCTTCCATTACATATACAAAATATAAATAATGAATCAAATTTAAGGAGGTTTTTATTATTCTTTTATTATTTAATTTTTTATATAAAAAATTTCTATTGAGATGAGTGATAACATACTACATGAATGTTAGGATTCGAACTCAAGACCTTTTTTAGGGAAGTAATTGTTCCAAACCACTGCACTAATGAGTCCTTTGCTTAATACAAGCAATATGAAGAGGGGAGAATCAAATCTAGGACTTCGGATGCAAAGTTAAGTACTGGGCACATATCGGTTCGGAACTGTAGAAGGCT